TCTTTCGGAACACGCATAGCAATCCTTGCTTTACTAATCATCTAGAAACCTAAAGATTTCTTGCTCTCAAAGCCATTGCATTTTATAGGTATAATTTATCCCGCCGTGCAGGTGTATTTCTGAAATGCTGAATTCATACATATGCCAATAATTCTGCTCAACCAACATACCTGTGCCTGGAGATCATACAAATTTGGAGAATAATTAAGTCCCGCTAAGCACCTGCTTGCCTATTTGTTTTAGGATTACAGATAGTGCTTGCCTTGTGACCACAATAGAGTCCAAAACTTCTGTTGCTAAGTGAAACAGTTAATTTGACTCCGTTGTACAACCATTCTTGCCACAGTTGTTAAGTGAATCACTGCAGTTGCTAAGTTAGTCACACTGTTAAGTGAACCTGGTTTTCCCTCTGGACTTTGTTTGTCGGAAGGTCACAAAATGGGATCACATGACCCCGGGACACTACAGCTGTCATAAATATGAACCAGTTGCCAAGCGTCCAAATTTTGATCCCTTCACCATGGGGATGCTACAATGGTTGTAAGGGTGAAAGACGACCATGTGCTGTTGTAACTTCTAATGGTCACTAAATGAATGGTTGTAAATCAAGGACTCGCTGTATGGCACCATCGAACACTTCACAAAAGTAGCGCAATAGTGAAGGACAAAGAGAGACCTAACTAGTGGTGGGTTGCAGGCGGTACACCCCAGTACGAGTGTGCCTGAGTCTGCCCGGAGCACCGGATACCGTTGCAGTATGGTGCTCTGGAGGGCCCACCCATCCGCCCGAGCTCCTTACCTATCTTTTAAGGCTTCCATGCTTCCGTGCACGGTGCGTACAGCACCTGTGCGACGCTCTGTGGAGGAGCTGGAGCCTTGCGGAGGTGCTAAGATGCATGCACGCGCTGCGCGCTTCCATGTGGACAACGCCGGGCCCGTTCCAACCATACCAGTTGGAACGGGATCCGGAATCCACCATTGGACCTAACCCACAGAATCATTAAGAGTTGGACGTGACTGAATGGACATCATCATCATCATCATCATCATCATCATCATCATCATCATCATCATCATCATCATCATAGCAACAACATTGGGGGCAACATCAAAAGCAGATGCTATCTACCTACCACGTTTATTTTTCTCGGAAGTGGCACAGGGGTTTCAGCTGACCCTGGGGTCGTATCTCCAGAGTCTTCAGATGCTTGTTTCTGGACCATCTCTTTCGATTGTATCTTTGGGGAAAGATCCATATTGGGCGATTTTTGATTGGCCTCGGGAGGCTGAGATCTGGGGGATTGTTCCCCACCAGGAGATTTTGCCAAAGTTTCTCCTAGTTGTGGCTTTGGAGGGAGGTCCTTCATTTGGGGTTTCGGAGGTAAGTCGGCTAGCTGGGGTTTGGGGGGCAGGTCCCCCAGTTGGGGTTTGGGGGGTAATTCCCCTGGTTTGGGGGCTAAATCTGCAGGTTGGGGCTTCTGGGGCAGATCAATGCAAAGAGAGGCCGACTTTTGAAAGATTTCAGAGTGGTGGCTGGATTTGTCTACTGAAGGAAGGTGAATCGTTTCTATTTTTCGTAATGCCACTGAAACAGAAAGCAAAAACAATGTGAGAATTTCAGATGAAACCTTTCTTCTTTTCCTTCCTGTTTTCGTTAAAACAAACCCCATCTGTCTCCAATGCCATTTTATTGAGCAGAATATATTGATTTATATTGGGACCTGGTGACAAGCAGAAGAAGAAATGATAAGCATGCAATCTCAAAAGCCCAAATGCAATCTTTCGCTACAGCACAATGTTTTATTTATTTTTTCTTGCAAAGATACTGTTCTGACCTAGGCTTCCCAAGAGCATGAAGCAAACTCTTTGTCCTGACAAAACCCCATTTTATTAATTTACTGCGAATTCTGCTCATCCAGCAAAGTCTTTCAAGGGAGGATTTACAGTCACAGACCTTATCTGGCTTGGAGAGCTGCCAGGCCGAAATCTGCAAAAGGAGGAGGAGGCAAGGAGTCTCAGAGAATACGAGCCAATTAAGAGAACTAATTGTCTCCTGCAAACTCCACTCCCCTTTCGCTCCTCTTTTATTTCCTCTGGGAGGGGCCATTCATGGTCCACCTGTGGCCTTACTCCCACGTTAACTGCTATTCTTTAGCTGTTTCCTTCGCCTGGCAACTCTGCACATGCGCACACTGGGAACAGGCTCCAGCTGTTCATCTGCCTCACTGATATCTGACTCCGAAGGCAGCTGATAACTGTCAGATGGCCCTGGCCCCCAGAGCCCTCTTCAGAGCCTTCCCCAGATTCCAGGACAGGCCCATCATGTTCCTCCCCAACCTCTTCACTGTCCGAATCTGCTGCCAACTCCACTGGCAGGCCACAACACTCAGATTGTCCAGGGTTTTTTGGGGGGAAGTAAAAACCCCTCAGCATAATACATGCTCATATAAAATCCCCTTTGAATCAACTTCAACAGTTCTTAATAATGAAATCCTTTCGTGGTATTTCCCCTCCTCCCCTCAAGTTCTCATTTAACTTACAGCTCTGAGATATTCTTGCGGTTTCCCATTCCAAAGCTAACCTTGTCTGACCCTGCTTAGCTTGTTTCATGATCAGACTTACCTTTCTGAGGTAGTTTAGGAAGCACTCTTGGGCCCAGGGCACTCTTAGCAGACCCGGTGCTGATGAAGAAATACACAAGGGGTTAAATTCTATAATTAATTAATTATACATACATACATACATACATACATACATACATACATACATCTGTGCGTGTGCGTGTTTGTTTGTTCCAGCATAACTCTGGAATGCCTTGAGCAATTTCAACCAAACTTGGTACACAGATGACTTACTCTCTGGAAACAAATACTGTGGGGGTAAAACACCCCTAAAACCCCCGGGGTGTGCGTTCTGTTAAGATGCAGCCTGTTGTGCCTTAACATGGCTTCTGCTGTACTGCCTTAAAATGGCTTCTACTGTACAGCAGTGGAGTTGCCGTGGTAACGGCTTCACAGTACTCCACAAGGGGGCTCCCTCTGGTAAGGGGGAAAAGCCAACATTAGAAATTACGTTTCATCTGGACATTTCCCCCCTACAAATAAATACCTGGGCAACGCCGGGCTATCAGCTAGTAATAATTTTAAAAAGCCCCATATCTGGAATAGAGGCATCCACCAACATGGCCAACATAAAAATATTCAGACTGAAAATCTTAACAGTGGCATTTATTATCATTTTTACCACGCTTACTAAGCAAACCCTGAGGTCTTGAAGTGAACTCAGCTTCCCTGATTGACTTCTCTTGTTGGAAGTCAGTTAAGGAAGGTCACAAACGCCGGTCGTGAGATTGCAAGACGCTGCAAACTTTGTAAATGTGGGTTGGTTGCTGAGGGCCCTGATTGCGGTGTGATTGTGGGGAATGGTGCACCAATTGGAAACTGATCAAGGAGAGAAGCAAGTTAGAACTGAGGAGAAATTTCCTGACAGTTAGAACAATTAATCAGTGGAACAACTTGCCTCCAGAAGTTGTGAATGCCCCAACATTGGAAATCTTTAAGAAGATGTTAGAGAGCCATTTGTCTGGAATGGTATAGGGTTTCCTGCCTAGGCAGGGGGTTGGACTAGAAGACCCCCAAGGTCCCTTCCAATTCTGCTATTGTATTGTATTACTAATTGTAACTTCCAAGAATGGATCATAAACCACTTTTCCCAAGAGCATCGTAACTGTGAGCCATCATTAAATGAATGATTGTTAAGTCAAGGACTACCATCGTAGGCAAACAGTGCAATGGCTAGAACAGGGGTTGGCAATCTTAAACACTCAAAGAGCCATAAAGGTCCTAACCAAAAGCTCCCCGTTCAATTCTGGAGCTGACTGGAAATCCAGTTCTCCCACCATAGAGTCTCCTCCTAGCGCGGCATCCTTTTTCCTCTGCCAACCAGAAGTCCAGTTCTTCCAACCATAGAGTTTTCTCCTAGCGCGGAATCCCTTTTCCTTTGCCGACCGGAAGTCCAGTTCTTCCAACCATAGAGTTCCCTCCTAGCACAGCATCTTTTTCCTCTACTTGTCCTAACTGAAAGCCCTATCAATTGTGGAGCTGACCAGCAACAAGGAGCCACAGCAAAGGGATGAAAGAGCCACATGCGGCTCCAGAGCCGCGGGTTTGTGACCCCTGGGCTAGAAGAAGCTAAGAAAAAGGGGATAGCAATGTGTGTATGTGTGTGTGTGTGTGTGTGTTTGTATTGTGTGTATAAAATCCTTAACATGACAATTATATTTACGTTTACACAGTTTGCGTGATGACAGGAAGTATAAAAAGTAACATCAACACATAAATATCTCACCTTGCCTGTTGAGACATCCCTTCAAATTTGTTTGCCGTTTTGGTGGCTGGTGGGCCCAGATCATTACCTAAAAGTAAGAATAATGAACCATTAAATATTTTAAATGCAGCAGCCATGACATTAAATGAATAGAATCCTTAGCAGACGTGGTACAAAGATTTGGCTATATATTCTTATTCTATGACTTAAAGGAAAAGATGCATTGCTTTCCAACACATTATAGGTAGTCCTCGACTTATGACCACAATTGAAGCCAACGTTTATGTTGTCAAGTAAGACAGTTGAGGGAGTTTTGGCCCTCTTTTCACGACTTTTCTTGTCACAGTTGTTAAGTGAATCACTGCAGCTCTTAAGTTAATAACCTGGTTGTTAACTGAACCCCCATGGACTTTGCTTGTCAGAAGGTCGCAAAAAGGGGGGTTACATGACCCCGGGACAATTGCAAACGTCATAAATATGAACCGTTTGCCAAGTGTCAGAATTTTGAGCACGTAAACCATAGGGATGCTACAGCAATCATAAATGTGAAAGATGGTCAGAAGTCACTTTTTTTTTTAGTGCCGCTGTAACTTTGAACTGTCAGTCAAAAATGGTTGTAAGTTGAGGACTATCATCTAATTTGAGACAATAAAAACCAGGCTGCTAATGGCGAAAGAATATTCAAAATGAAACCTAAAATTCAACCTCATGTCAAAACTCTATTTCATCTACATTACGGGGGACAACCTCGTGACATCACGTTGACGTCACGTGACTTCCCGCAGTGTTTTTTCCCCCTTCACAGAGCTGGGGTGGACGTGGGCTGTGCGTGACACATCTGGCCTGTGGGCTGCTAGTTTAACACCCCTGATTTACATCGTTCAACACTGACTGCATCTCAGAGTCTGTCCGTCTGTCATGCCTTGATCTCCATCTCTATCATCCATCGTGTTTTCCCCAAAATAAGACCGGGTCTTATATTAATGTTTGCTCAGAAAGACACATTAGGGCTTAGTTTGGGGGAAATACAGCACTAAAATGTGTACATCCGGCTGACAATCTTAACTGGCGCTTATTTTTGGGATAGGGCTTATATTATGTGCATCCTGAAAAATCATGCTAGGTCTTATTTTCCGGTTTGGTCATATTTTTCGGGGAAACATAATATCTATCAATCATCCATCTATCCATCCATCTCTATCACCTATCCAACTATCCATCTACCTACCTATCATCCATCCATCCATCCATCCATCCATCCATCCATCCATCCATCCATCCATCCATCCATC